TTTCTTCCATTTAAAATCAAATATTTAAGGTTTAAAGTAAGAATTTACACCACGTGAACTGATAAACATAGGTCAGGCATAGTGAGAACTAGCCACCATAAATACATCCCAGCCAGAAGGTCAGTGTGTTATTAGTCCCAATTATGCTGAAGTGTAAGAAGTCCTCGTGTTGCAGACAATTATTCACTGCTGAATGAGCACAGACCACTGAGCTGAACACTGACTTCCCTCACAGACAAAGGCTTACGCAATAATGATCTATTCTGCCAAATTCTATAAGGATTTACTTATTGAACCCTTCCTCGGTTTCAGATCACTGATTCCTCTGTTTCAATACAGAGACAGAAAACATCTACATGTCCTAAAATTTTAGGATTTTCCCAAGTATTTATTTTTCATGAAGCTGGCAAGTCCCCATTTAAATATATTTCAAGTTACACATTTTCCTTGGGTGCAAGTCAAATATTCCTAATACAACACAGGGCAGTCCAAACTGATGACCTCACTGTAATTTAAAAATATTTACATGAGCTCTGATTCCTCTTGAATTTATACAGATTTAATTCTCAGCATTCTATTTCTAAGCACTGAAAAGCCACACAGGTCACAGTTTGTCTGTATACCTATGGGACGGTGGTTTTAATTCAAACCCAAAAGAAAACTGCCTTGTTCCAGGTTACCAAAACGATGCCCATTGCAAAGCATCATTGCAAGGAGCAAGAGACCAGTAAAGAGGATCAGAGATTTATTTCCAACTCTAATTTGTGAGGCAGGAAAGCGGCCTGCCATGTCAGTGTCCTTCTATGGGCTCTGCTGTCTGTAGATAATACCCATTCTCTCATGTCTCCCTTGAAATACCCAAGGAGAAAGGAAGAATAAGAGATTCTCAAAACCATGAGAGATCAGAGGGTGGGGGGAGGGGAAGAGAAGATATGATAGAAAGAACACAGTCAATTTTGTAAGGGAACTTTAAAATCAGATTGGCAGGGAGAGGACTTCAAATGGTTTGGCTCTTCAGCCCCTGCAGAATGCAAATTGTTGGTGTGCTGAAAGAGCTGAGCTTTTCATCACAGCACATGTGCCTTTATCTGCAGATCCCCCATTTCCATATTCTCCACCTACACCTGGTAGACTCAGTCTTTGTCAACAAGTGCATTCTTTTTGCATTTGAGGCCCAAATCAATGAGGTCTAAAACATTCCATATAAAAAAGGGACTTTGTTGAAATTTAACCAAAATATCACAACTGCCTGTTACAAAGGCACATGTTTGCCACTGACTGACAAATGAGTAAACATAGGCTGAGCCAAACCAAGCAGCTTGTAGACGATGTTCCAAAAAGATAAACAACCTTAGTAACATATCTGTTCTGTAAGTTCCAGCACAGCTGCAGATTTAAGCTCTATGGTACAAGATCATGATGTAAGAGCCTATATTCCTCTGAACTCTCAGCATCAGCTTCCTATAATGACACGGTTATTGAATGTTTCCACAGTGAGCAACACAAGCCAGGAGAGTCCACGATTTTATTTTAAAGTGCACAGTAAAAATGGCAAGTGATAGGTTATGGGTTTTATTACACTAAATGAAGAGAAATGTAATCTCTCGTTTCATCCCAAGCTTTGGTTATTTTTATTTCTGTTTTATTTAAATTTGCCTGCATTAGCTGGCCCTCCTTTTTCTACAAGATTACTACTAAAGAAGAAAACTGCTGGTTTAGGACACACTAAAATTGGAACATTAATTCATGTCCCTGTGGATCTTGGGAAAAAGCCAATGCAAGTCTTGAACTTTATCGTGATAAACCCCTGGCACCCACTAATCACAAGATTGTATCTTCACATAAGATAAGGGGAAGATTTTTGGCATGGGAATGAACACATACACCTAGCTGTTTGCAAAGGCTTGCAACCTGGCAGCCTTTCAGTAAGGTTTCACTCACATAGCTGTTACTGTATACTCTCCAGCTATGGCTGGGAAGTTGATAATCCTTAAGATATGAGGAGAGTTTTGATTTCTGACACAGCATTCCTGAGATAAATGCAGGATCAGAGAGATGCTTTGAAATTCCCAGAGATACCCTGCTGGTAAACTGCTACATGGGAACAACTTTTAACAAAGTGCCTTTAAAAAGAAAAAAAAAAAAATTAAATCACAGAACTTGTGTTTGCCATTAAACAATATATTAAATGTAAACCAGACACAGAAAAGAAGAGAGTATCCCAAAGCCTGTTTTCCAAAAAAAACTTTCACAACATAACTTAGTATTTTCGTCTACCCCAGAGATAAGAGCTACTATTTCCAACTCTATTCCAACTTCTTGTTAAAAGGTGATTTTTTTTATCCCTGCCACAATTCCTTCCCACTGCTGTCACCAGGTGTCATTTCAGAGCATAAACTTGTATTTTCAGCAGTCACACTGCATAAAGATGCAGTCACCTTCAAGTGGTCATGAAAGTTTCTTGTCTATATAACTTTAAATACGTTTCATATACACAGTTACTTTGTCTTTATAACTCATTTCTTAGATAGTTAGCAACATGCTATATCATATATCAACATATTTACCACAGATGGAAGATTGTGCATGTCACTACCAGATGATAACTGATTAGAGGTAAGACTTCCACATCACACTTTTAGTCTACCAGACATACCCACAAGTTTTCACTGTGGAGCAGTTCAGCTACATAAACCCTACAAACTCCCTTGCCCTCTGCTCTTACATCCAAAAGCACAGTGCTGTCCACTGCTTCAGTCCATACACCCCTTTCACTCCTCTGTGTGCATTCCTTCATGAGACCAGCCTCCTTTCAGTAATAATAATTACGCCTCAAGGTTAAGTGAAAGAATTGCAAGAGTTGTTAAAAATGGTTGGCTCTTCAGAGACAGAAAAAGAAAAGTAGCCTCCATCTGGGACAGTGTAGCACTGGAAAAGTAAAAGGGCATAACAGCAAGTAGCTCAACTTTTCAGTATCTTGCTTCATGAAGCACACCACAATTTAAGAGGTTTTTTTGTTGTGTTATTTGAGTGACTTTGCAACTATACAGATAAAACAACACAGAACTGCAAGTAACTGAAGAGTTGCTATCAATACCCAGTATGTCATTAGTGTACATGTGATCAAATTAAATTGTACAGCCTCCTCTGATAAGGTTTTGTAGGTGTAAACTACCCATGTCAGCTACCAGGACTGCAAGCACCCCATTATTTCCTGTCTGGTTGACTTGGTTTGCATCACTTCAAATCAGATTTTCACAAGCAGCACAAACCTTTGGTTTCAACAATAGCTAAAAAATTATTAAATGTAACAGGTACTTCTGTACCAGATCTCCAGCCAAATGTTATTTTGTGGCTGAAATCTCTATCAAGCAGCAGTGAATAATAAGAATTTTATAAGAAAAAAAACACTATTCACAAAACATTACGCTCTTTGACATCGACTGCCCACTTGCAGCAAAGAGCAATGAGAGGTCTCAAAGGAGAAGTGCCAAAAGCACTTGGGCAGCAGCAGGGAGAGAGGTGTGACAATTCAGTGTACCCCTTCTACCAATTTCCCCCTCTGCCTCCATCCTCCTACTGCTCTCAAAACAAGTCCTCCTGTTTAGCATCACAAACAGAACACAGTATTTACTCTGAGACAAGAGCAAGCAGCCAAATGCTGGCTGGCATACACCATCTGTGTCTAATCTAACCAGACAACCACCACTGTCTCTTCCCCCACTAGTGATATGGCAATCTGAGTTGAGAAGACGTGCCGTGACAGCTGCTTCCATACCCCTGGCAGAGCTTCACTCCTTTCTTGGGTCATCAGTTAGTTTGAACAAGGCAACCACAGACTGCAAAGACAGAGCCAGAGGAAGTTCAGGAATAAGCAGGGGATCAGATACCAGGATAGTAACAAGGGATCCCCTTGCACCAGACCGACTGCAGGATTTCTGGATATGATCAAGGCTTTTCTAGAGGCAGGAATGCAAGTGTTATGGGATTCTTCCTTTTGTTCTTAGTTTTCTTTGTTGTTTTGGGGAATCCCAAAGCGGTAAAAATCAGTAAGCCTAGTAAGAGACAGTGTGGTCTACTACACTTGGGAAAAGATAAGGAGCTAATGAGACTGAGATACAGGAGACACCAAAATTATTATCAGGAAAGAGTGACTTCATTTTGTTTCTGCAGGCCTTTAAAATCAACTAAATATGCACAGCAGTCCTCATCTACCACTTAGGAAGAGAACAGGAAAGACAAAAGAACAATTTACACTCTTATCTCTTCTTTTACTCTTGCAGTCATTTCTAGGCAATTTACTGGCCAAGTTGCCATATTGCTTCTGAGCTGTAACATGCACGGAGACAGGGGAGTTAAATCTTTTAAGGAGGTGCTGGCTTTAAGACCCTCAAGTACAACTCAATCACTGGTCATTTTTCTTTCCCCCAGTCTTTCATAGCATGACATAGCAACTCACACAATGCAGAATATACCTTCATGAAGAACCTATGTGATGTCAGTAACTCGGTAGCCAAAGGTTCTACTTCTCCATCCAAGCACCTTGATTACTATTAAATACTAGATCACCTTGTACCCGAGTTCCACTGAACTCAAGTGTGAGTTTTCCTGTTCCTTACAGATACCTTAAGCAACGTTAAACAGACCAAATATTTCAGATGTCACATTACCTGTCAAAGGAATGGAACTGTACAGGCTGGTCAGCAGCTCCATCACCAAGAACTCCAAGGAAGGCCGGTGGCAGAAGAGCAGCATCCACTGCAGTCCCATCAGCAGGTGTGCTGACCAGGCTTCTCAAGATGTCCTTTACATTGACATTTTTTGCAGCTGGCACAGAAGCTGCAGGTTTACTGTCTTCAGTTCCTGTCTCACTTCTGCCCTCCTGAGACTTATTTACTTCTAATGAGAGCGTGCACAGCACTTCACTGATGGCATCTGGACCTGCACTGACATTCAGAGGTCCCGCTTCAGCAGCACCACCCGAATTGTTTGTTTGTCCTGAAGCTGCTTCCTCCCCAAGACCAGAATCCCTTCTTTGTATAGATGCTGCACTTTCTGAATCTTCAGTGGAGACTGAGGCACCAACAGCAGCAGACGGGTTTTCCACAACTGTTAATACCAAAAAAACAGAAAACACAATTTAAGGTCACTATTAACAGAGCAGCATTCATCACATTGCTCCTGAAGAAGTAACAGCAACAGAAGAAAAGTGAAATAACACGGCCGTGTTTCTTCTTGCCTACTTAGAGATTTAATATTATTTGTAAGTATTTCATAGGAAATTTAGAGCGGAATAATTTCCTTCTACTTTCTGAGAAGCCTGAAAAATTATAACATCCAAAAATTAAGACAAGGAAATAAAAGATAGTGACACATCAGTCAAAGAATGAAAATTAATTGGAGTCTGATAGTGGAAAAAAAAGCTGGCAGTCTGTGCTTATGCACATATGGCTTAACCTTACAAATAATGTACAGTAAAGTTTTTGTAACAAATATTTGTGAATATTTAGCTACTTCAGTGAAATCAGCCACCTCTACACAACAGAATCAATCTATAGTTTTTTTCTCAGATCAGAAGGAGAAACACAAATACTGAGGCAAATTGAACACTATAATGCTGTTTATTTCAGTAGTTACAATGCATCTATTTCTGTACATTTTCACACAGATTTCTACGGAATTTTAAGCCACATTATTCTCATTTGGTCAAACAATTAGCAGTTCACCTGCAGCAGGAGTCTCGTTATTTTCATTCTCTGATCCCTTGCATGACTGGCTTTGGTTTGGTGGTCGTCTTTCATTCTGAGGCTCCAGTATATCTCTGTATTTTGAAACCATGAGCACAGAAATAAAATATACAACAGCCAAAGCCAAAAATTGAGCCTGTTTACTATCCTCCTGTAAAAACAAACAAACAAACAAAAGACACACAGATTTTTCCATTACAATTTCAGCAGCCTGTTTATTTTTCTGTAAAGTATGCCCAGCGCTACCATAAACAGACCGAGAGTAAGTTGATATGTCAACAATGGAAGAACAATATTCTCTAGTCACAGTTTGTCTCACCTATAAAGGCAGGGAATACAGCAATTGTATTCAAGTGGCACTAATACTTCCATTTTTCATTTATAAATATGACAACTTAGGCTAAGGTTGTGTGTTTTGACTACATGCTTCGAATTAGTGCAGGGACTAGGCCCCCTTTATTTACAGGTGTTTCTTCTATTACATTTCCTCAGAAGTGCCAAGATACTAACAGCATTTGCTGTGAAGTACAACAGGCAAGCACACTCAACAAAACTGTAATGTATCAATGAAGGAGTTGGAACAAAACACAGAACCAGTGTTAGGATTTAACTGAATCATCAGATAGTCCAGATGGATGCAATGTACTATGTGCAATTTAAACAAGAGTCTACATTTGCATTACAGCTCTAACTTTCTACAGATATTTCAAGAAAACCTTAAAAAAAAATCTTAATATGAACTATGCCATGTTCCTCCCCAGAGCTCTCAGTTGCTCCTAGTGAAACAGAGGGAAGACCAGATATTAAGATTTAGCCTAAGCCTGTCCACTTTGGCTGCCAAAAGAGAAGTTTCATACACTTTGGGATAACAGGAGAATGGAAAGTTGGATTCTCAGTGACCAATCAGTAAGAAGAAGGGTGTTTGGGGTTTTATACCCCTCATTTAGAATCACAGAATCATAGAATCAGCTGTGTTGGAAAGGACCTCTGAGATCATCAAGTCCAACCCTTGATCCACTACCACCACAGTTACTAGACTATGGCACTCAGTGCCACATCCAGTCTCTTCTTAAATACCTCCAGGGACAAAGAATCCACCACCTCCCTGGGCAGCCCATTCCAATGCCTGATAAAACATCAAGGCTCAGGTAACAGTCAATTTTTTCCCCTGAGAAGTTCAGAGATACCAAGTTAAACTATAAAGCTCATTCTACCTTAACTGTAGTGCCCATTGAAGCTCCATATTCCATGAAGAGCTCTTTAATCAACTATAGTGGGAGAGGTTTATCAGAAGTTTTCTATTAAGAACTAGATAACATAGCTGTTGCACTGAAAATACAACCTATATTCACCTTGGCTCAACCCAAAATCTCAACTTCCATAGGACAAGGCAGAAACAGTAACAACAGGCTGGCAAAAGGCAAGCACAGTGTGATACTGAGGAAAACTGCCTACCTACAATGATAGGGATTATAAAGAATTTTCTTACTAGATCAATCTTTGCAAGACAGTGTCCAACTGTACTTAATAAAATTGTGATCCAGTGAATTAACACTACCCATTCGTTTAGAACTACTTAAAATAAAGCTCATGTAACACTGTAATTACTATATTACTACTGGTGGTTAAGTGGATTCCATCCAGATTCCTCCTAGACAGGTTCAAATTATGCCAATCACGATTCTCTGTGCTGAACACAATGTGAGAAATTGCACACAAAGAACACATTTAGTTGCAACTGTAAACAGCTCAGATAAAAACTATTCCAAAATAGATCTTTCAAAGTCTACTTCTTCTCCATAGCTCAGCACCTTTGCCAAAAAGCAGAGCTATTGCATCATTTTATATTTATTGCGAAACAGAAAGCCCAGTGAAATAGACATGCAAAAAAAAAAAAAGCAGAGATTGTATGGGTGTTTTGTTTTCGTAGACTTTTTTAAAGAAAACACTGAGTTCACAAAATATGCTTGAAGATTGCATTATTAGGATTATTTCAGTTGCTACCAGTACGGCAGGTTCAATTCCTGCTACTCTTTTGCACATTGATACCGAAGTAGGGTTTGAAAGAAGCTTGTTTCAATCAATAATTACTGTAGAGATAAAATTCAAAGATCCTTCACTATTCTAGATAGAACAAAAGTCACTGTATAAACCATTATACTTGCTAAACAGTCCAATTATTGTAAAGTAAGTTCTGGTGTCCAAGCTTGTGGCCACCAATGACTCACAGCCATTATAGCTGCTCTATTTGCTTACAGAGGTGTTTTTTTCAAGCAATCAATCTCAATTTCCTCAATATCAGCTACAAAGTTGCTGACACAGGGCAAAGATATTTTTAGTCAATTCAAGACTAAAAAACATATGCGTACTTACAGCACATGCACACAAATTGGTTCCTCTGAGGGGAAGTAAACAAATTAGAGATGACCTCTAATTTCTAATTAGCTAGAAAGATACTCATTTTTCATAAACATCTTTATGATAAATAGTACACATAAGCAGTTTGTCTATGTACAGAAGGGTGTGCAAGTGCACAGTTGTACTAAACACAACATATTTCATATACAACAGGCAGAACTGAATGTGTGATCAGCAGGCAGTTGGGTTTCACCTCTCCCTCCTTCCAACCCCAACCACCACAACAGCTGCAGAGCATTACGAGCTCCTAATTACTGTGAGCAGCATTCCCTTTTGGTACATTCAACTCAGCCAAACTGTGCGACACAAAGAAAGTGTTCAGCAAACAGACATATGCAGAAATCCAGCTACAAAGAAAGTAACTTACTATATCTCTGAACACCACTGCTCGGAGGCGATTAATATCCATATCCTGCAGAAGTCTATCATGGTCTCGTATTGGAGAAATGCCACCGGTCACAATGTCCACTGGACTCTATTAAAAAAAAAAACAACCAACAAACATAATTGTTTAATGTTCTGGTTTTTTAAAAGCATTCTATGAAGAATCATTAAGTGTGTACAATCACCCACCCTGCATCATATTGTTATAACTAGAGCACAAAGATCAGATATGCATTTCATCTAAAAAGGAAAAAAAAAACAAATCTGGCAAATTCTTCTGACAGATTTATTTCCTTGTAGAAGGTTAATCACGTAAATTGCCTAAAATGCTAAATTCACATCTTAGAAAAACTATTTCAGAATCTTCAGGCTTTTTACCCTTCAACTCTATTAAAATAGCAGTGGTGCAAGTATAAATCTAAGAACTTATAGCTCTGTACAGAGTAATAATTACTGAATTTTGTGCTCCTGAATGTGATCTTAAACTTGCCTTTGCTGAAGACTTTCCTGATCCTATAAAGCCTTGCACTGTTTTCTGATTCTTCCCAATGTCTCCAACAGGTTTCATCTGTGCATGCTGCTGACACTCCAAGCAATTTCTTACTGCTATTGCACATACTTGAAGGGAAAAGAAATGTTAAGAATTATTCTGAGAAATATTATTGTCTATATTCCCTCACACAGATGATTCAATTAAACTAAAAAGTTTACTCATATCAGCCAAATATTGTGCTTTGGTAAGTTTAAAATAGTTGCAAAACAGTGCTCAAAATTCTTTAAAATTAATTAACTAAAAATTAATACCAAACTATCAGAACACATGTGCTGTATCTAATGGATACTTTAAAGTGAGCAAGATATCATCCCTCATTGCAATTTTACCATGCATACAACCACGGGGTGGGTAGGGTGAAGACAGCTAAATTTCACAGACTAGCAAGGGAAAAAGACAAGTGATACACTAGTGAAACAAATAGCAATGTTTGCTTCACAATACTCTGTTACTCTTGGACTAAATGTTCTCTGAATTTACACAATTTATTTTTTTTTTTTAGCTGCACAATTGTGCCCTGTTTCTAATATTATTTTCAAAGGAAAAAAGAACTACCCCACCTCTATACCTGTTTGCATCCCATAAATCTTGTTCTACCTGCACAAAGTTTTAATTGCCTAGAAAGGGAGAGGAAGGCTAGTTACTGTTGAGGCTCTGAGCTGCTCTGGCACTCATGCAAATTAAACTTTTCATTACAAAAAGTCTTAGAGCATGCAACTAGCACCAATACTCTCCTCCAGCATTAACTACCTGAACCCTTTTATAATCTTGTATGTTCTTATATCCAGAATATTTGTTACTTTCTTAGGTAATGACCCCTTTCTTTCAATCCAATTTGCTGCAAATTTACTGTAATAACTGGATACACCTACTGTCCAATGTGAACCCTTTAGAAATTCACATCTCTACTTTTCACCATACCTTCATCTACTGAACTCAGGTTTTACACCTCTTTTCTAAGTACTGCAAAAATTCCTGGGTTTTTATATAGTACTTACTTTCTCTTAAGATGCTATATTCTCAGTCCTGACTATAATGGGGAACTTTGGTAAAAGAAATATCTTCATGGATAAGATGAAAACATGCATCCACAATAGACGGGCTACCAAAGTTTATTTATTTTATTCAAACTCTTAAAGATGAATATATAAGCATTGCAGTACAGTAATACTAAAACAGTAAAAGATCTTAAAGTCTGACTAAATTTAATCTTGATTTAACAAAACAAAGGACAGGGAAAAAAAAAATCAAGCTAGTAGTTGCTAACTATTTAGTAACAGCAAGTTCCTGTGCTCATTAAGTGGTCTTATTTGCTTACCCAGCCGAAGACATTGTCGCAGAATTCCTCCAGATGACATATTTTTCTCAGACTCAATTTCAGTGAAACCAAGAGAGCTTGCAAAAATTAGCACATCCACAAGGTTGATTAATCTCTGGAGAAATGTTAAAGATGCTTCTACTGAAAGTCCTTGAGTTGGCTCAATACTCTCCAATTCATGCTACACAGAGAAAAGTTGAAAGCAACATTTACTTCTTCACAAAGGTAACATTCCTACAACCCAAATGAAGAAAAATGTGTGCTGGAAGTTCATTATCAGTCACATTCAAAAGTAATAATTAGTCATATTCTAGGAACAATCATTAGTATTGGGATTTCATCCCATTATAGATCACTGTGGGGCAATGAAGGTAGGTAATTTCTTTTTATGTCTCCAGGCAAAGAAGGAAAGCATTCAATTTCTATTAGGGAAAGCATGGAGGTAGCAAAGGGAGGAAAGGGACATCTGTGGAATTATCCCATATGCATTTCCTGTTTTCCAAAAGTATGGATATAATACTTAATACACTCCATAAAGAAAGGCATCCTCTCAGAAGTGATAAATTTTCAAATAAAATAGGAATGTCTTACAGTAGCAGATGTGGCAGCAGAAAGCAATGGCAATATACCACCACAGGCCATGATCATGTTGTCCATCACTTGAGAGATGAGGTGAATTGTGTTGTGCACAAATACGACATTGTCACTACTATTCACAAAGTCCATCACAGTTTTGGTAGAATGGCTGTCCAAAAAAAAAAAAAAAATTCAGAATACAGCTTTAGTTTTGTGGTATTTTTGCACACTTAGGTTTTCACAAAACTAAAACCAGAGTTAGCAGTAGGGCAGCAATTAACACATGACTGTAAAGGTCAACTGATGTACCTCAATCTAAACCTGAAACTACCTTTCCTTTCTGTTCTTGAACTGCTAAGGATCACAGGTTGCTAAAAACATCGAGATGTGCACGAATCACCATTTAGATAAAGATACATTATAGGCTGGTCTATGATTACTTGCTTTAGTAGAAGTCATTGTATCCAGAAACAGAAGAAAGTTTTCTGCAACTGTGAAGTAGATTTGAATTTAAATCTCTGGAAAACTACAGCAAGTACTACGGGTTTCTCATAGAAATTAAAAATCAACAAAGTAGGACACTTACATAAAAACTTTGCAAAATAGAAGCTAAACTAAAAATATATTTCAGCTGTATCTGATGATGTTCTGATAGATTAACTTACACACTCCCTAAAAATTACAGTCAGACAAAAATTCACCTCAGTTTAAATTATTTTAATCACTTAAATACTCCATGCCTTTATCTTTTTTATCAGGTGAGTGCAGCTATTTGACACTCACTACTACAAGCAAACAACAGACACCACTCTTATTCAAGATATTAAACCTTTATATCAAAATGCAGAATTACCACTATTTTCAAAGACCTTGATGATTACATTCCAGATCTCTGTTACAAGGTAATTTTCAAATGAATTTGTGTCAAAGCAGCAACATAGTGCATGTAAATGCAGGAGTAAGAAATATTCTTTTGTATACATATCTTTGTTTTAGTCCACGTTTAGATACTAATAAAAGACACGGACTCTTACATACATTAGGATCACGAAAATCTTGGTCCATAAAAATCAACAGCAAGACTGCGATTGACTTATCTCTAGCCATGATTTCAGTCAAAATCTGTGTAGGCCCTCAACCAATACACATCCATGTCTGTAAAAAGTTGAACAAAATTTTCTGAGAATAATTTGGTATAGGTCACAAAGCAAGGAAGGCTACTGAATAATGAGTAAAATACCCGATGTCCAAAATTCAAGGTCAATGACTCACTCTGATGCAGTTTCAACAAAGCTCATTATAACTGAAATTATGGTCTAGATCATTCCATATAAAGCATAGAAATGTACCTTCTCCACATCTGGATATCTGTCTCTATGGAAAAGAGCAAGTCTGTGAGCAAGCGCTGATGCATCAGTGACCACTTAAACTCAGGAATACGGAACACAGTTGACCTCGTGTCTCTTCTCTGCCCATCCAAGGCAGCAGCCAGCTCTTGTCCTGAAGAAACTTGCTGCCTTGAGGTCTGAATACACAGTTTACAGACAAAAGAAAAACAAACAGAAAGAGTAGAAAAAAAGAGAGAAAAAAAAAGAAATACCACACTCTCATTATTAGTTTCCATGGTATACAACTGAAATGCATTTAATAGACTTGAGGTTTTAGATATCCAGCAGGTTTAGACTGTGTACACGGTTACAAATAAAGCTAAAACTATTACATAACTGCTATTCAATAAATGTGCCAAACCTACAAACTAGTCTACAGCTGCACTACCACACCTGCCAGACTAGGCACAAAGAAGCAGCAACCCAATCTTACCACAGGGAGAGAATATGTTGCTGTAGACAGTGATTTTCCTCCTTTAAGGAAGAATGGTGTAGAATGAAGAGCATCCATTAGGAGGTATCTCTGCAGAAGGGAAGTACTCAGATGCATGACTATTTAACCATGAAAAGCTGAGTTAGAAACTAAAGACTGGAGGGGGTGGAGCACCGCAGCACACAACAGAAGCAGAGCTTTACATTATGTTTGGACAAAGAAGGTAAGAAGACGTCATGTAGTGACAATCCTACCAAATTTTACAGTTCAAAATTTTTATTTTCATGAGTTCGATCAGGATATGAAAGAAATTTTTTGCTCTTCTTTTCTGCACAGGCAGTGTTTACTTCTCAATAATTATAAGGGTTAAGAAACCAGACGGAAAGAGTAAAAGGGAGGGTGAGAAAAGCAGAAGAAATTCTATCTAAAATCCTCTCAGAATACATAAATGTTTCTTTCAATTCACCAACCTTAAGAAGTACCAAGTATCCATCTAGCCAAACACTCAGTTTCTATCAGCAAAGTGAACATACAAAAAATAAAGTCTTTGAGACTTCTCAGTACACAGATTAGTAAGAATTACAGCTATTTTAATCCAGGGTTAAAAGCATTCCAGAGATAACTCACGAAATCCACACATGTTAAAATCCCCAAAATGTGTATGGGCACACTTTTTCAAGAATTTCATAAAGTAAGAACTTCCTTTTATTTTTAAGCAAGACAGATAAAGGATAGGTAGAATTTACCTCAGGTAAGGATCTGGGGGGCAGAGGTGCTTCTAGACATGTGTTAGCTTTCAGTTCCAGTCTTTCTGTATCTGATGCAACACTAGAAACATCAAGCTTGGCAATTCTCTTGTCGGAAGCTCCAGCAGGCTCTGGCACACGTACATTTGCATTTTCCACAGCTGTTTTGGTTTCAGTAACTTTTTCTTCCTTCATCTTCTTTTTCCCTTCTGAATCCAGCTGAGTCACTACTTCTGGAACGGCAGAACTCACTGTTTCTGGTAAGGTCAGTTCTTGCTTTTTCCCATCCACACTTTCAGTATCTTCAGATTTTACAAGCACAGATTCAGGCTCCTTCTCTGTTGTTTTTTCCTGCTTTGTCATTTCGCTTTCATTGGAGCTACATTCCTTGTTCCTTTCTGCAAACTCTTCTGAAGATAAGGGCAAACTACTTTCATCTTTCAAATCAACAAAGTCATCTTCGTCTTCCACCTCTACTGTTGATTTCTCCAGTCTTTCTGGACTTGCAGGAGTTTCTCCTTCCAAAGTAGTTTGCATTGCTGGGGAAGCAGCAGTGACAGCAACTGTTTCTTCCTCAAGCTCGTCACCTTTGCTAGAATCTTCAATTGCTTCAGCTATTCCAGAACTAATTTCTGAAACGCTGGGCTTTACTGTTTCTGGCTCTGGAGAAAACTCCACACAAGGTACTGCTTTTATATCCTGTGTAGTGTCTCTATCTTCCTCCTCTAACTCCTCCTTATGATTAGACACTGAATGAGTTTGTTGTTGGTCAACACCTGATGAGTTATCTGTCTCTTTTTTTTCAGTTCTGCACTCTGTATCACCATCAATAATACAGGAAGAAGCAGCAGCATCTTCTTTTAACTCTAAAGATTGTTGCTTTCCCTTGGTTTCAGCTTCTTTGCTAACTCCAGAGATTGTTCTAATTGGAGTCGAAGAACTTCCTTCACCTCCTTTCTCTTGGTACTCCCTGTACATTTGAGAAAGACTCTCTTTGTGCATTTCAAAAGTTACCTAAAAGAACAGAGTTGAAAGGACATTAAAAACTATATATTAATAACTGTTTTCCCTGGGGAAAAAAAAAAAAAAAGAAAAACAAAACCAAAATCAATGCTCAAATCACAAATTTACATTGGATACTGTCTTCATGATAAAAAGCAATTTCACACTGGAGATAAGAAAAACTTGCTCTCTGTTGAAGTTAAGTCTATCTGTTATTCCAGGTTGAAAAAAACAAAACAAAACAAAACAAAAAAACTAGACTGATCCTAAGGACATCTTAAGCATAACAGCCATAAAATTACTAGATTTATCAGACAACCTCAATTTTTTTTATGAAGGGTGACATTGTGACAAGTAACAGAGCTTTCACATCACTTTAGCCCCTTAAGTATGCTCAACAGTCCATAAAGATAACTAAACTTTTGAAAACTTTTTTACATAAAAAAGTACAATCCCACAAAGTCAGAGCAGAGAGAAGCATGTAACAAAGTCAAAATCCTGAAGATCTCCAAATGATACCTAAAATTCTCCAGAGAACATTTCATCTGGTGAATGGTATTCACCCCATCTCAAAGGTACATGAGAACAGCTGCACAATCTGATTAAAGTGAAAAGACTTTTCTACACATCAGCTGAAAATATTATTATTGTTTTTAGGTATCTAAAATATGTTCCAGATACAAAAATTCTTTTCATACATACTGATAAAATTCATTTGCCCAAATAAATAGCTGCATTTTAAAAGAATCTCACTAGACTAACTTAAGTTTTTATTACACTGTTATTCAATTTAGTCTATCCACACCTTTCTATTTAAGATTTAGATTTATCTTCCATAACACAAGTGTTTATTTACCTGTAAGCTTAGTTCTCAAAATTTTCCCAACATAAGCTTCAGCTGAGAGTTTGTTTTTTTAAATTTTCTTTATCATAAACATTTTCCATAGACAAATTAGATCAGTCCATTCTACTAAATACATGAACACACATTTTCTTACATACTCAGCTCATTCATTTGGATCTCATCTAAAAATTCCATGTACATGGTATTCAAAGCGATTATTAGTCAGTAGGAATATTTTCTCCTAAGATGACACAGAGAAGTCAAAAAAAATTTTGACAGGTTAAAAAGATACTAGAAACTATAGTTCACAAATCAGAGAGACGCAAAGAAAGAGCAAAGACAAAAAGAAATATTTTTGGCAGGTTCTGTTGTCAGCATTAGCTTTTTAACATACTTTTTCTCCATCAATCAAGAATATTAGAGTACTGTAGGAGCAGTGTAGTATTCTAACATATGACCTAAAGTATGTTATTTGTTCAAGTTCATTTCATTGAAACTTTGCTCTCCAGAAACAGAACTGGGATATTATACTCCTTTTTTTTTTAACCAAAAAAAAAGTCTTCAGATACAAATGTAAATGATTACAAATGACTGAAAGTTCATCCATCTGTCACAATGGAACTGTAAAATATTTGATTATATGGCATTGCTAAAAATATTTTAGCAATGATTCCTTCCTGAATTGTACCACACTTAGCACAAAGCACAAAACAGATCATGCTAAGAAGCTGTCCCTTGCACTTTTCACTTGTTTTCTAAAACATGATTAGGCAAAGCTGCTACTTTTGGCCAAAATACTACTTTTCTGAAGAAGGAATTTTAACAACTTGAACTTCTCTCCAGCTACCTTTCCCTCTTCTCTCTCCCTGTTGCTTCCTCCATTTCCAAAACTACTATAAAGTTTTCTTCCAGCAAGCACTAAAGAGACATTTGACAAATAAAAATGTCATGGATTGATTTCAGCAAAACTTTTATGTACTTCCCAGAAAGCACACTGTTCCGCAATAATTAGAAATGTGAACATCCATATTTTCACGCATCGTTCCAGTGTAAGTCTCATTAAACCCATATGCAGGAGTAAAACTACCTACTTTATGGCTTCTCACTTTCCACTCCACGAACACATTCCACAGGGCTGTCAACTACTTTAGGAGGAAGGGTGAGTGTTGTACCTCAGTTTGTACAATGTTGGACATGCTCTTTTTTATAACACTGACTTTTTTCTAGTGTGTTACCAAGCCCATCCCCTTTACAAAAACCTATCGCAGCTTCGGATTTTTTCTTACCAACTAAATTTATTATCCTGTTCACAGCATTAAATCAACCTTGCTACAAAACAAGTCAAAATCTGTTCTCCCTAAGTCCAAGGTTGCTTTTACTCTCCTCCCTCCCCTCAGGATCCTCCTCCACCATCTCATGGTCGCTGTAGCCAAGGCTGCCTTTGACCTCCACATTTCCAACAAAGCCCCCTGTTGTTGGTGAGTATAAGAGTCCAGCAAAATGCCTCTCCTCACTGGCTTCTCTATCACTTGGAGGAGGAAGCTGTCAGTGTACCTAAGGAAATTCCTGAATTGCTCATGTCCTGCTGCGTGGCCTCTTCAGCAGAGATCAGGCCCATGAGGGGCAGAACCCGCAAACGTGAGGCTGCTGCTCTCTGTCTGTAGAGGACCTTATCTATTTCTTCCTTGTCAGGTGACCTGCAGCAGTCATCCACTGTAACAACACCTCCACTTGTCCTCCCTCTAATCCTAATTCAGAAAATCTCAGCTGGCTCCTTATTTATCCACAAGCAAAGCTCGGTGCACTCCAACCGCTCCCTCACACAAAGGGCAGTTCCCATTCCTCACCTCCCCAGTTTGTACTTCCTAATGAGCCCATATCCCTTCACTGCGTCACTCTAGTCACGGAAGCCATCCCACCACATGTCCAAGATCCTAACAAGATCATTATGTGCATGTCATACTTCATATTACATTACTCATAGCTCCAAATTTTCTGCCCCCTCATTAGCAACTTCACTGGCTCATTAATAAACATGTCATAGCCAAGACTTCAATTATTCCTTATAGCTTAAGTTCTTACTGCCTTGCCAGTAATGGAGTCCCCCTGCCTCTAAGCTCTTTTCTTCACATCCTAAGTTCTCATTTCGTTTTAAAGACACTTGAAATTTCAGTGCTGGAAGGAAAGTTCATCTAGATCTAAGACTCCCTAATTTTTTAATCCGAATCATCATGAAAGCAAATTCTATCTAAAAACTACCCACTGTTTCAGCAAACAGAGAAAGTTCACAAGTATGAATGCTACTGACTGTGTAGGTTAGAGATGCAAACATATAAGCAACAAGCTGATTTTTGCACAGGTATGGTCAGCAGTTAAAAACACAATGTAGGGTACAGGGATGCAATATAATATCAATCAGTTTTATTTGAAACAGGGAATAGACAATACTTTGGAAGCCATTACAGAGCAACACCAAAAATGAAACTGGGCTCTGCAGGATTGATAACTGTTAATTAATAAACCCCCCAAAAAAAGACCAGAGAAGGTCAATAAAGACAACTTAGCTTTACAGATGGGCAATGTAAACTTATGGGGAAATAAATCCAAGCACAATCCAATGAGACTCTACATTGATTTCAGAGGAATGCAAGAGACCGTAAGGAGAGAAACACCGGTGATGAAAATCAGACAGTACAGAACTACAGGAGAACATCACTTCCCCAAAAAACAAAAATCCACATAACGAGGACAGCAATTTCTACTTTGACCATAAACATCAGCAAGAATTCACATCACAGTGTATTAAATACTGTCCTTTAAATAAAAGTAGAATTGAAATAGCAATGCACAAAATTACACAGACTACCTGAAACAGCACTTTTCTAACACACCTTTTAAGTTTGGGTGTTTTTTATTTACATAAAAAAAAAAGAACACAAATTTAAGTAATACTGCTTTGTAAAATCCAACTTTTCAGCAAGCCTGAACAAACAGTTCTGATCATAATACTTATTCATAATTTGGTTTGACAAGAAACCAAGAAATAGAGGTACTGCAAAACAGGCACTAGACAATTCTTCCCCCACACTTCTGTTCCTCAACTTGGCGTTTATAAAGCACACAAGTCCACAAGGCCAAATAATACACACAACAAAGAAAACACCTAAGGTTAGTAAAATCAGTATTGACAGAAATGCAAAATGAAGTAGAAATTATGATTACCAAAAAGAAGCAGACAAATACAGGATATATAAATGTATTAAAGATTAAACACTAGGATCTGCATGCACGCAACAATTTAGAAGACAACTGTCAGTTTGAAGAACCTTAAATGTACGTAAGTAATTTTTTATTTTCCTTAAGGCATTTGCAACTGCAAAGCTGATAGTACAAAATTAATTACCAGAAATTGTTCCAAATTAGTGAGCTAAAAGGCCAATCATTAATCTTCACCATCATTTGATGGTTAATCCATAGCTGTCTCCAATGCTTGGAATGCATCTCTACGCACTACTAGTTAAAGACACTTGTGAGCTAATAACTGCAACATTTGCCTCTGTCATTAATTTAAACTTAATTTGACATCCAACATTTACTAATTGCCAAGGAGAAAAATTAGCATACAGCAATGGGAAAGGATAAAATGATTGACGTTTGCATTACAGAACATAGAAAAAAACATTTTAACTATATGTTAAGATTTTGTCCTTTTTTCCCTAATCAGGTGGGCGAATTCATAGAGTAGAGAGAGGAAAGGAATGTCTATCAGACAATTATATATACTGTTGTTTCCTTATAGTTTACTCAGTGCAAACTAGCTTCTTGGCTGCTGAGACCATCAGTAAACTCCTCATAATTCCAGAAAGCATTACAACTTTTTAAATCTTAACAAGGACTTTATTGACCTGTTTTTCCACATCTCCTCTAGTAACACTAACCGTTCAAAAGTGCAATCCAATCTCTAAACAAAAACAGGCCTGTTTAGACAGGAGACATCACTATCCAAAGACATGGAAACTAATTTTCAATTCAGTAAAGTAAAAGATACAAAGGTACTGTGTGTACCATACACTGACTTACAGTCTGCAACCCACTGACCTGAGTAATCTCTGGGTTATTTCCACTGATTCAGAGAAGACAGTTAAGAACAGTAAATTAACATATATTA